GATTTGATACACCAGACTCAAGTTCAAAAAAAACACACACAGGGCGTAGGGAGGCCCAGTCACCATTGATATGATGCATGAGAAACACACCTAATTCACCACTCCCTGGATCTTCTCCAAAGGGAGGACACCCCTCCTGTACAGACCAATTCACACACATTCACAACAGCAAAGCCTCTTTCATGGACATAAAATCGACATGTGAAAATGACAAAGGAAGACACACACCCACACCAGCCCCTGATAGATAAGTTAAGAATATCCACGATCTCAGTGGGCCGGTGCGTCACACTGTCATCTACGCACTCGGAGGCGAGGCAGAGGATTGCCGATTCAGAGTTCGAAATGCCCCTGGCGTTATGGGAACCACCAGTGGTGCAGTTTTAGCCCATTGCAGAGTCCTTTGGGTCTCACACTACACCCCGAATACGACAGTCTCCAGGTTGGGGGCAAGCAGCAGTCTGTAGTTTTAACGGCTGAGCAGCTAATCTCAACCACACAAAGCCTGAAGAGCCCCTGGTATCATGCAAGGAAGAGGGCAGGGAGCGGCCAAGGGAGGGCGCAGTGGTTGTTAGAGGGCTGGACAAGAGAAGCAGCTGTATGCTTTCAGGGAAGCATTTAGTGACAGCAGTGAGCAAGTTGCAGCGACGGAAAACTTAGAGAGGTGGAGTATTGGGCATACAAGGACAAAACCCCCTTTTAGAATAGGGTCACACGCAAACGAAAAGAACCACGGGAGACAAGCGGACTGGAGACACTAATGTTATGAATACTATTATATAATATAGATTTTTCCATCTCGGGTTGGCTTGAATGCGGCTGCCTTGAGGTGATTTATAAGGCATATTGACACCTTAGTGGAGCCATTATAGAGTGTGTCAAGCATAATCAGCAAGCAGTGCCATTTGATTCTTTACTAGAATTCCAGGACCCAGACAAAGACAAAGGCTGGATTATTGTAATCTCACATGTACCAGAAATACTGTTATTTTCCAGAGCTCATTTGTAATACCTGGGGAAATGTGTTGTTTCCTTCAGGACAGTTACGTTCTCAAAAGCTAATGTTGTCACGGTCTGCATTCTTTTTTTTTTTTTTTTTTTTTGAGACAGAAGTTCACACTCTGTTATCCCGGTGTAGAGTGCCCTTGGCCGTCAGGCCTAGCTCACAGCAACTCAAACTCCTGGCTCAAACACCTTCCTGCCTCAGCCTCCGAGTAGCTGCTTGACGTTAACAGGCATTGCGCCACCCATGCCGCGCTATTTTTTATATATTTTAGTCGCCAATTTAATTGTCTTTCTATTTATAGTAGAGACGGGGTCTTGCTCTTGCTCTGGCTGGTTTGAACTCCTGACCTGGGAGCGATCTTCCCACCTGCCTCCAGAGTGCTGGATTACAGGCGTGAGCCAACCCGGGGAGCCACCATGCCCGGCCAGTCTGGATTCTTATCAGTTAAAATATGAAAATGGTGTCTGTAAGTGACATTGACCTGTTTTAAGAGGAAAGCGAGATGTGCTTTAAGTCATTTCTGAGTCCTCTGAGAAGTCATAAGGAAGACTCAAGTTCTTTGGACAAGAGAGAGAGTCACTACGGTAGTGTACAAAGAAAACGTGAAACATGTTACTACAGCTTTTTTGGATTTTTATTTCCCACTTTCCTTATAGGCTGAGAAGGTTTGGCGACTCCTTTGTCTTTGAAGGCATGTTGAGCGAGCAGGTGAAGACTGATTCAGCAGGCAGTAAGTAACGTTTAAACAGGCTCTCGTATTTCTCTGCGGAAAGAATTTGGGCGAAAAATCCAAAGCTACAAGTGCCACCTTTCACCTGCCCCTTAATATCTAACCATTCTTCTGCTTAGACTTGCCCAGAATAACAGGCCCGTGACCAGGACACCTTATCTTAAGGAAAACGCACAAGCCCAGGATGGTATCAAGGAAGTGTTGGATCTGCCTCGAGCTTCTGTCTTGTGTACCTGAGTAACGGATTGCGTTGCTAAGTAGAGCTCAGCTGGGCTCTAGACACTTCTGGGTTCTTTTCCTTACACCCATTTCTAGAATGGATGGTTCTAACAGTCTTTTATTTTTGGAATTTATGGGGTACATGAGCAATTTTGTTATATGTATGTGATGTGAGTGATCAAGTCAGGGTATGTAGGGTGTCCATCCGCTGAGTAAAATACATTTTTGTTAAGGATCGTCATATTCTTTTTTTTTTTTGAGACAGAGTCTCGCTTGTTGCCCAGGCTAGAATGAGGCGTGTGCGTCAGCCTCGCTCACAGTAACCTCAGACTCCTGGCTCAAGCATCCTCCTGCCTCAGCCTCTCAAGTACCTGGGACTACAGGCATGCGCCACCATGCCGCGCTAATTTTTCTTATATATTTTAGTTGCCAATTAATTTCTTTCTATTTATAGTAGATGGGGGTCTCGCTCTTGCTCAGGCTGATTTCGACTCCTGACCTCGGAGCATCTCCTGCCTCACCTCCCAGAGTTGCTAGGATGACAGGTGTGAGCCACCGCGCCCAGCCTTAGGATCGTATATTCTTAAAGCCTTGATCTCATCAGGGGCTGGTGTGGAGATGGAGCTTCCTTTAACTGTCATAAATTCACATGATCAGATTAGTGTTCATGAAAGAGGCGCCTTTGCTTCTCAATGTTCACAAGAAACGGAGGCAGGGAAGTTGGTCTGTACAGGCAGGGGTGTCCCTCCTCCTTTGGAAGAAGATCCAGGGAGTGTGAATTAGGTGCGCGTTTTTCTCAGGCATCATAGCGAATGTGGACTGGGCCTCCCTAAGCACTGTGTGTTGAGTGGAACTTGTAGTCTCGTGTATCAGACATTTTAGCAGATTTGAGTATGTTTGTATGCATGACTCTTGAAAACATAAGAACAGGAGGAGTGAAAGGTAAACTGGGAAGTTGAGAGTTCACAAAACAAGGAGAGCAAAGAATTATATTTAAAGAGGCAGGAGATAGAGAGGTTGATTAAGACAGAGACATTGAAGACAAAGGAATCCAACCCTCATCTTCCTTTTTAATACAAGTTCCCTTTCAATTCATCTTGTGTGTATGCCCTCACTCCCGTCCTCTCTTGTGAGCAGCAGTGCCAGCAAAATTAAACTGCCCTGCTTACGTTTTCTTTAGCATAACTTGGGGAAAAAGATGAGGTAAAAACAAGCTCTCTCCAATCATTTATAGGCGAATCAGGCCACTTGTTTTATGTTTGAAAAAATGTGGTAGAGCTCTGTTTGAATTTCACAGTTTGCTCATTACAAGTGTATTTTTACAAGTCTATACTGCAACCTGATATCCCTGCGCCTCTTTTTAGAAAGGGCTTTGAGGTCGGATCAAGCTAGTATTGATGAGCCAGCAATTCAGGACATGGTTGGTGCCTTGTTTCCAGAGAGTGAGTTCAGATGAGGAGGGCGTTTGCGCTTCTTTTTGTAATTGCGCTCTCAGCTGCGGGCCTCTTGTCACTTGAGAACCTCCAAACGCATTAGGCATGAGGGCAGAGGTGGATTATCGATAGGATCGAGGCCACCCCGTTAAGTAGTTCTAGTATGGGTGTGTGGCTCGTAACTAGGACGGGGACAAGCAGCTCTCACAGGATCGGAGTGTTGTCACTTGCTTAAATGTTCATAATGGAAAAGCAAACCTTTTAAGCTTGTTTAGAAAGGGTTGGAATGAATAAATACATCTGTTGATGACCCGGAAGAGCTGAGGTTTTGTTTTTTTCATCCTTCTCTTAGGCTTGACTATCCTTATGCACCAGATCTTTTTTAACCCAGTATTTCCAAGAGTGTAGAATGTGAGATGGTCCATGAGATAAATTTAAGCAGTAGAGATGATTTTAGGTGGTAGATGGGCAAGCATAAGATCAGCCTGCAGTAGAGAGTGAAAGCTCTTCCCTTTTCAGGTGTCTTTCCAGACTTGATTAAGTCAAGAGAAAGTCCCCTTTGGGCACTAGCACTCGAGGGTATCTGTTAGTCGTTTTAACACAGGAAATAGGCCTGGCCACCTTGCTCAGGCTATAGTAACTAGTTAACACATAATGATACTGTTTATTTTCATGGCGTTATTTTAAAATGTCGCATTCTATTTATGACAGCTTACACTTGTGAGATAAATTTTCCTTTTTTTCAAATAACTTTTTTGTTAAAATAAAACACAAATACAGGAAATTACACCATGCAAATATATAGGTTATTGGTTATCTTAAGGCAAACACGCTTGTACCGGTCACCCAGGTCAGGAATTAGAGTTTTTCT